AACTCCGAGACATATAATGCCTAATCCAATGATTATTTTGATAGATTCCATTTCATATCTTCTTTTTTTTTGTTTTTTGTTTTTTTTGGGTAAAGATGTGTAACCATTCCAAATTACTACAAAAATTAATTTTACATCTTTAGCATTACTTTGGAGTTAAAAAAAGGGATAAATGAAACCGTTGTATTTAGAACTAGTGTTATCTCATTGATGACCCTTAAACTTTAGGGTCATTCATAGTTTGTCCTTTGAATTTTAAAAGAGATAAAATCATTTTGGTATCATATGTTATAACAAAATATGCTCTTGGTATCTTATCTTTTTAATAATATTAAACTGCTATCTTGACGTTTCTAAAAACATCTTTTTGGTACCCTGAAGCTAATTTTTGAGATGTAAAATAACCTTAGTACCCTTTTATTTAATTAATAAAAAACTAATAGATCTAGGAAAAAATATCATGAGCTTTTTTATTTTGTTATTTTCTTTTAAATATTTTGATGTTTTAAAATATTTTCATATATTGTTTTAAAAAAATATTGATTTCTATTTAATTGATAAGAATGGTAGTTTGGGCATTACATGTTCTAAATATTAGTTTTAGGGTACCAAGAAGATGTATTTAAAAAAATCAAGGTACTATTTTAATATTATAAAAAAATACGAGATACCAAGAGCATGTTTTACTATAATACACAGTACCAAAATGATTTTATGTCATTTTAAAAACACCCACTCTTCTTTCAAATTTGGCCTCCTCTATTAGAATTTTTATTAAAAACATATATGAAAATATTATAGTATAATCCCAGTCTTTCTGTTATCAATAACTTAAGTTTAAGCATTTATTAAAACGATTATCACGAGCTCTTTAAAATTAATGCTCATTAATTGTCATAATGTTTTTTGGTCAATTCAATTTTTTACAACCGTCTGATTCATATCATATGACTAAAATAACAATATCCATCGATGGGTAAATATTGGGTTACTCATTGATAATATGCAATAAATAATGTGTTTTATCTTTTTTTATTTTATTTATACTACTTGAAGGCAAGTATTATATATAGTATCTAGATAAACAAAAAAATAAAAATAAAAAACCATTTGAACCTTTTTTATTCCTAAGATTTCCTAATTACAAGAGGTGGATTTTTTTTTCTTTTGCTGGTAACAAGAGGTGGATTATTAGTTTTAAAAACACAAGATTATCATTAATTAAAAAGAATATAAAGGAGGTTCTTGTTATTTATCCCATACGATATTCATGAAGCTAAATGTAACCGATATTACCATAAAATATTAAACTGCTGTAAATTTCCCAACGCAGGTGGCTAAATATGAAATTTTTCGTGTTTGTAGGTATCATGTAATGGTAATTTGTTATCCAATTTTTCTATAACAAAGTGTAAAGTTTATGTCTCCCACATAAAGTCTTAAAAAAAATAAAAAATAAAAAAAAATAAATTTGTTATTAAAGTTTATTAGGAAATATGTTCAAAATATATAAGTATAAGAAAACTAACATTAAAACCAAAATTAAAGGGGCCAAAATTGTAAGTAACCATTTCTTTGGCTTTTGGTTATCTTATTTCTTTTTTTTTTTTTTTTAGTAAATATCTTCTTTCATTTTCGCTTTCAAATAAAGCATCTAAATTGTAAACTCTTCTTTAAGAGAAAAAGAATCCTAAATATTACCAATGAGCCAGGAAACATGCATGGATCAAGCCCTTTTGTTTTCGTTTTTGTTTTGCCCACATAATTAGTATTTTCTGCATAAAATTACATGAGGGCTGCTACATGCCTCTTCCTTTATTTATTTTTTCTATATATTTATCTTCTGGTTTATTTATAAAATTCCTACGTCTCTTTAGAAATTCCAGAAGCCTTAGGAATTTGAAACTTATGACGTCTGAAATAAGAAAACTAATATTAAAGACGACAATAATAAATTTAAAAAAGATTGAAATAGAATAATGTTACACTTGCGTCGCCAACCTATGCCTTACCTAATCAATATTACGTGTAAATCCTATCCCCAACCAGAGAGCTCCGTTTGTATTGTCTCTGTGGTTTATTAATTTCTTATTGCTTGATGTTAGGTTACCTAAATTATGTCTAATATATTCAACGTTCAATTTGTTAGACTATTTGGTAGGCTTAATGTTAAATCCACATTGATCTATGATAATAAAGTCTACCCTTCGAATTTCGTTATCATTATTTTATTTTATTTTATTGCTAATATTTATAACAGAATAAGTATTTTTACTCTACCCATAACAATTGTTAAATTTAACAACTAATTTTTTAATAATCACATTTATGCGTGTCCTTATTAAAAATTTATGTTGTGCCACATAAAACTAAACTATCCTTACTCCAGATCATATTGATTAAAAGCTAATGCAATGATGAGAACACAGTTATTACCACTAGAGGACCAATCTAGAGATTAAAAAAACACACATTCAAACAGTTTCCTAGATTGCTTTCACCTCATAATTGCAAGGCGGTAATTGAATAAATTCTCGAAGTGATCAAATCAAAGGAGTTTTGATAGATTGCAATCCTTTTCATTTATAATCAAAATTATGTCAATATCTAAACTTGGGTTTTCCTATTTGTTTTTTCAAAAAATCCTGTACTTCTTATAAAAGAAGGTCAACTGTGTTTTCTTTCCTACCATTTACCCAAGTTCCAACTACCTTTCTTTGGCTTTCATAAATTTGAACCAATCCACTTTCTTTCTCTTTCTTTAATTTTATTCTACTTAAATAAAAGAAAAAAAGGGAAAAAGAACGCTGGAATGCACTTTCCTCTGTTTCCATCTCATTTTAGCCGATAGAAAATTTTATCTGGACCCACTGGTTGTTTTGATGAAAGATGTGCCAAACTTTAGGTGGACAATCATTTTTTGTCCCTCTCTCTCATAACAAATTATCCTTTTATCTTTTCAAGCAACAAATATTCTGGCACTCCCACATTATTTGATCATTTTCCGTGGCTTCCTAACACACTCATTCAACATTTTTACTTTATAGTTCACACTTTTACCAAATCAATATTCACAAGCGTGAAATCTCAACTCAAGGAGGTTGTAAGAAGAAAATTAATATTTCGTATCTCTTAATTCTCCAATTTGTCTTAACTTATAATAAACTTCATAAATCCTTTATTTTCCAACCATAATTAATGTATGAAGAATCTACGCAACAAAATTATAAATCTAGTCTTAAATTGTTCATTTAGTTCCCAACTTCATGGGCTGTTTTGGTCAAACCTAAGTAAAAGAAACGTCTTTGATCAGCTTTTGTTACTCTTATTCTCCCATTTTAAAAAAAAAAATCTTTAAAAAGAAAAAAAAGAAAAAAACAAGACTCGCTCTCCTATTTAGTGACCTATTTTTGTACGAATAGCACCAATTAATTTAAAAGTTTGAAGCTATAAAGCTCCCTCCGCACCTGATAACTCTAGATTTACTATTTTGTTTTTGCACGGAACTATTTCAGGTGCAAAGCCAGATGGGGGGATAAATATTAAGTTGTTGCAAGACGAATTCGTTTAAGAAGAAGAGAAACGGCGTCGCGCAAGTTTGTAAACAAAACTTTAGAATGGAAGGAAGGTTAAAATAGAGAAACAGATATGTTACGCCACGATCGAGGGATTGACCGTCCCTCTAGGTGACAAGCACCGAGGACTCCCCGTTGAGGACCGGTTGCTGACGCCGAAGGAATCAGTGTGTCCAGAGTGCCCTTTAGACGTCAAGAAGTCACGTGCGCTGACGTGCGTCGAGGGCCCAGCCCATGTGGTGAGGATCCGACGTTGAGACATTAGCCCGGTCAAATCCGCTGTTAGTCCTGGGAAAGATACACTGTATCACCTACCGCCACTGTTGGAGTCAGGAAATCAGGCATTGGGTAAAGAGTGGTTAACCTGACCGGGCAGCAATAATCAGGAAAATCCAGTTGCCAAATCCCCTAATTAAGGGATAGAGGTTGATTTCATCGGGAAGTGCAGGGGGTTTCTCACATGTATAAGGCCTATAAATAGAGCCACAAAAGTTCATTATGTTTTTTTTTTTTTGTACACACTCACTGAGAGACTTCTACAAAACTTGTAATCTACAGCATATTAGTGCATGCACAAGTGGATGTAGGCAAAGAAATTTAGCCGAACCACTATAAACTCTTGTCTCATTTACTTATTCAGCACCGTTAATTCCTAGTTAATACGTGAGAGATTAGTGTGAGTGTTCTCGGAGAGTTAGTAATTCCTTGTTGATTAAAATCCACCATCAACAATAGGCGCTAGAAGGAGGGCCTAAGAACCCAAGAAATCAATCCAGCAGGAAGTATGGCTCCGAGAAAGACCTCGGCCCAGAAAAGCCAAGAAGGCTAGACCTCGGCCCAAGGAGGGAGGAATCCGGCGAACCCACCCAACGGTGGCCAGGAACCCACTAGGGTATGGCCTAACCATAGGGCGCAGCCACAGGCCGATGGAGACCCCCCAGACCGCCTTGACCAGCTCCAAAGGCAGGTAGAAACACTTGCTATGGCCGTAGAAAGGATGGCCACAGCCATCGCTAGACGGGAACAAAGGTCAGACTCGATGCCATCGCTGGAGGACGCGCCGATGAACCCGGTGAACACCGCCGTTGGGAACCAGGTAATTGGTAACCGATGTGGTGACGGCGAAGGGGTCGGTGACAGTGGGGCCAACAACCCCTGCCCTGCTAGGTCGAATAGGTCTTTCGGGAGTAGGCAACGAGCTGCCAGGAGAAAAGCCCATGAGAGGCCGCTGTCAAAGTAGAAAATGACCGAGCGATACCCCCTTGACCACAAGAGAACATGAGAAGGAGGGACGCGGTCCCAGTAGAATCCTCATCCGTACGCGGGGAAGACCTGAGAGAACGGCTGAACACTCGACGTGAGTGAGACGTGTAGCAGTCCAAGGAAGAAGAGCTTGCGGCCGAGAACAAAGCCCTGGCTGAGAAAATGGCTAAACTTGAAAAACATATATGGACTAGGCTGAACAACTTTGAACAAGTTGTGAGAAAGGTGGCCGAGGCTGTAAATGTCGACAACAAGATGTATACGTCTCACGACCACCCTTTCACAGAGAACATCATTCGGGTACCACTGCCCGATAAATACAAGCCGCCGCTTATCCCATTGTACGACGGAAGAAGTGGCCTAGACGACCACCTGGAAGTCTACACGGGGCACATGGTCCTACATGGATACCTCGAGGAGGTTATGTGCCGCGCGTTCAGAAATCATCTCTCTGACTCTGCCAGGAGATGGTTCAGGTCCTTAAAGCCGAACTCAATAACCAGCTGGGATGACATGAAGAACGCCTTCCTGACTCAGTTCATAGGTGTTAAGAAGTACATCCCACCAAAACAAAACCTCTCGAGTGTATATCAGGGACCAAACGAGTCCTTAAAAGATTGGATAACCCGGTTTGGGGAACAGGTGGCTGCCACCAAAGGGATCTCCGACAAGGTAGCCTTGATGGGGGCCTTGTCAAGCATGAAGAAGGACATCCCATACATCATGGACCTCGACCGGAGGCCATCCCAAACTTACCAAGAATTCCTGACAAGGGCCCAGGGATTCATTAACGCAGATGAGGCCAAAAATGCCTTAAAGAGCAAAGTGGTGGTTCCCACCAAAGAAGAGGTGGGACAGCCGAGCCAACAAAATAACGGTAAGAAGCGCCGAGGTAATCCTCAAGTGTAGGCTGAGCCAAGGTACAACCCGGCCCCAGATAACAGGGGCGGCAACGCCTCGACGGGGCAGGGGGACCCCAAGCGGGCCAAGCCACAAAAGTATGACGCCTACACCCCATTAACCATGGGGATTGAGGACGTCTATCATGAGATCAGTCGCCTCCAGGTACTGCGTCGCTCACCGCCGCTAAAGTCTGACCCATCGCGGAGAAGCCAAAACAAGTATTACAGGTTTCACGGTGAGAATGGACACACGACCAGTGAGTGTTTCGACCTAAGGGATGAGGTCAAGAGGTTGATCCATGAAATGAGGCTCAGCGAATACCGAGCCGATCGACGAGGCAACAATAATCGGAGGAGCAACGACTGACGGGAGGATCAAAGGCAAGACCAACCCCCCGAGCCCGTCGGCATGGTAAGGATGATCTTTGGAGGGCCCTACCTCGGCGGCGCCTCTCGCTGTGCACATAAAGAATATGCGAGATAAGCAAAGGAAAAATTCAACCGGAGGATTATGAGTGTGTCCGGTAGGGAGTCAAAGGCCGTGAGGTTTGAAGAGGCCGAGATAACATTTTCAGAAGCGGATGCAAACAGGGTGCATTTCGCCCAAAGCAACGCTCTGGTAGTGGAAGCCATGATTAGCAACCATACAGTCTGCCGCATCCTGGTGGACAACGGTAGCTCGGTGGACATCCTGTACACCGATTGCCTTGACAACACGGGAATCCCTCGGGCGAGACTGCAGAATAGCCCATAACCACTGTATGGCTTCACAGGGGATTGCGTCGTCCCTGAGGGAATGATAGAATTGCCAATAACAATTGGCAACCGAACACACACCTCGACCGTTATGTCATGGTTCTTGGTGGTGAAGGGAGGCGACCATTATAACGCTGTCATAGGGCGACCGACGTTGAGGGCATTAAAAGCAGTCACGTCGATCTATCACCAAGCAATGAAGTTCTCGACCCCCAGCGGAGTCAGAAGGGTGAGAGGGAACCAATACGAGTCAAGGCTTACGTATTCGGAGACAATTTGCCACTACGCCAACCCGGGGCAGACCAGAAGAGAGATGAGGATGGTGGTGACCAAAGCAGATAAGGTCGACCTAGACCCTCGACTCTTAGACAGAGAAATGGGGACGGGGCCAGTCGAAGAATTGATGGAGGTCCCCATCGACGAGAATGAGCCTACAAGGAAATTGAGGATAGGCTCAGAACTCGAAGAGCCTAACCGGGAAGAACTGGTAGCATTCCTCAGCGGTAACCCTGACGTGTTTGCCTGGACCCACGAAGATATGGAAGGGATCAACCCGGACATAATGAGCCACATGGTCAATATAGATGAAAAGTATTCCCCCAAGAGGTAAAAGCGTCGACCGATGAATGCCGAGAGCACTGCAACTCGACGGTATGCAACTCTACGGGAGGAGGTTGACAAGCTAATAAAGAATGGCTTCATTCGGGAAGTCCTATACCCCGAGTGGGTATCAAACCCTGTGTTGGTGTTGAAGCCTAACGGGAAGTGGCGGACTTGCGTCGACTTCAGTGATGTAAACAAAGCCTGCCCGAAGGACATCTTTCCACTCCTAAGGATAGATCAACTGGTTGACGCTACAGCAGGGCATGAACTCCTCAGTTTCATGCACACCTATTCTAGCTATAACAAAATACCAATATTCCACCGCGACGAAGAACACACATCTTTCATCACTGACAGGGGCCTGTATTGCTACAAGGTCATGCCCTTTGGCGTTAAAAACATGGGAGCAACATATCAGCGCTTGGTCAATAAGATGTTCGTGGACCAGATAGGTAAAACCATGGAGGTATATGTGGACGACATGCTGGTGAAGAGCAGGAGGTCTAATGATCATGTGGAAGACCTCAGGGGAATGATCGATGTACTGCGAAAGTCGTCCACAGGATAAAGTTGAACCCCCTTAAGTGTGCGTTCGGGGTTAAGTCAGGAAAATTCCTAGGTTTTATGGTGAGCAGCCGAGGAATCAAAGCTAATCCAGAGAAGGTGCAGGCGCTCCTCGACGCGAAATCACCACGGAAACCAAAAGAAGTCCAGAAGCTAACAGGTTGCATTGCTGCACTCAACAGATTCATTTCAAAATCTACGGATAAGTGTATACCGTTCTTCGACACCCTGAGAGGGAGCAAGCCATTTCAATGGACAGAGGAGTGCGAACACGCGTTCCAGCAACTGAAGGAACACCTTGGGAAGCCGCCCCTACTGTCCAAGCCTATGGAAGGGGAGGTACTGAGCCTGTACCTGGCAGTCTCTGAACACGCCGTTAGTTTGGTGTTGGTCCGTGAAGAGGAAAAGGTGCAGCTGCTTATGTATTACACCAGCAAGCGCCTCCTCGACGCCGAGACAAGATATCCGCAGATAGAAAAGCTCGCCCTCACGTTAGTGATTATGTCGAGGAAGCTGCGCCACTACTTCTAGGCCCACAGTATTCAGGTCTTGACGAACCACCCACTCAGGCAGGTATTGTAAAAGCCCGACGCTTCTGGGAGACTTCTTAATTAGTCCATAGAGCTCAGCTAGTTCGACATCAACTACAAGCCATGAGTGGCCATCAAGGGCCAAGCCTTGGCCGACTTCGTTGCCGAGTTCACAGGATTGCCAAATGAAGCGGAAGCAGTTGATGGGCCCCCCTTTGGAAGCTCTATGTCGACAGAAGCTCAAATGACAACAGCAGTGGTGCAGGGTTGGTGCTGCACACCCCAGAAGGCCACAAGATAACCTCAATCGTTAGATTCGAGTTCCTCGCATCTAATAATGAAGCAGAGTACGAGGCGTTACTTGTAGGACTTAGGTTGGCAGAGCACCTAAAAACGGGGGCCATAGACATCTTCAGCGATTCACAGTTAGTCGTAAACCAGGTGAAAGGCCAATATCAGACCAGGGATGAGAAGATGGCTACTTATCTTAAAAAGGTAAAAGAGGCCTTGGAGAAGCTCTCAGCCTACGACATTCAGCAGGTGCCGAGGTCAGAGAATAGCAACGTCGATGGCCTTGCTAGGTTGGCCACCTCGAAGGATGCCGAGTTGCTTAGGCTAGTACCCGTGGAAGTTTTAAAAGCGCCTTCCACCGAGGGAAAGCCTGAAGTCCTCTCACTGAGCCACCAGCCGAGCTGGAAGGACCCAATCGTCAAGTATTTGCTCGACGGTGAGCTCCCGGAGGACAAGCAACAGGCAAAAAGGTTAAGGTACCAGGCGTCGAGATACACCATGCATGACAATATCCTTTATCGCAAGGGGTTCTCGACGCCCTTGCTCCGGTGTCTTAATGACGAGGAAGTGAAGAAGGTGCTTTTAGAGGTACACGATGGGATATGTGGAAACCACACAGGGGGCAATCCCTGGCCTATAAGATATTGAGGCAGGGGTATTACTGGCCCAACCTCAAGAAGGATGCAACCGAGTATGTAAAGAAATGTGAAGGCTGCTAAAGGTACGCCCCCATCCCTCGGCAACATTCAGAGTACCTAACGTCGATAGTCTCCCCTTGGCCATTTGCAAAATGGGGGATTGATCTCATTGGCCCATTGCACAAGACCCCCGGGGGATACAAGTACGCGATTGTAGTGTCGACTACTTCACAAAGTGTGTTGAAACGGAGCCTTTAACGACGATATCGGAGGATAAATGCACAAACTTTATATGGAACAACATAGTCTGCCGGTTTAGTGTATCGCACTCCCTCGTATCAGATAACGGGAAGCAGTTCAACAATGACAACACCAACCTGTTCTGCGAATTGCTAGGTATCCATAAGAACTTATCCTCAGTTGTATGTCCACAGTCCAACGGATAAGTCGAGGTGGTCAATAAGATTATCAAAGTCACGCTGAAGCGTTGACTCAATAACTACAAGGGCAAGTGGGCAGATGAGCTACCCAAGGTCTTGTGGGCCTACAGGACGACTAGTAGGACGACCACATGGGAAACACCGTTCTCAATGGCTTACGGGGTGGAAGCGGTTCTCCCGGTCGAGATATCCATCCCCACCAGCCAAGTGATACGGTATAAAGAAGATAAGAACGCCGAGGGAATGGGCTTAGAGCTTGACCTTCTAGAAGAAAGGCGCACGGACGCACAACTAAGGCTCGCCTCATACTAAGCCAGGACAGCCAGGTACTACACCAGAAAGGTCAAGCATAAGCGGTTTAAAGTGGGAGACCTCGTATTGCGAGTAGTAACCCCAAACACTAAGCCCAAAAACTCTAGGGTACTGGGCCCAACTTAGGAAGGACCCTACAGGATAAAGGAGGTCGTGGTTAATGGATCCTATCGACTCGTCGACATAAATGGTCGAGACATCAAACACACTTGGAATACAGACTAACTAAAGATCTACTATCAATAGTGGCGATAACAGTCGACTTGGAGGTTACACTTAGGAAGTTTTGCTCCATTTTCCAGTGTATTTTTGTAGACTGAAAAGAAGACGTGTAAATTCTACGTAAATAAAAGTGCGTCTGAATTTTCTACTCATTTTAGTCTACTCGTGTGAATTTTATCGCTCGACTGGGATCTACATATTCGAGAATCTACGTCGACCATTATATGTTGACTAATCTTCTGTCAAAGATAAGTTAAAAGACTATCTTCGACGAGGGGGTAGTAAGGCCAAATAAGGCCACCCTAAGGCCTTTAAGGGTGGCAAAGTTTGCTAAGTCCTGGCCAACCATACTTAACAAAAAAATTTTAGAAATTTTCAAGTATTTCTACGGCATCCACAACAAGCATCTGTATAAACAAAAATGCATATATAAATAAATAAATAAGGACTCTCGACCTTATGGCCGTTACAAAATAAAAATTCAATGTCTCGGCCTGATGGCCCTCTAAGAATCATAAAAAAGAAACAAAAATAGTCATGGCGCTGCCCCAACCCTCGGCGTCTGATCATCCCCCTCGGCGTCTAGAGCCTTCCCTATCACTTCCACCTCCTCCTCGTCAGATTTGTCGAGGAAAGCCAGGTCGACGTCTG